CCGCCTGCAATATTCTTGTAAGTCCATTCTAGCCTTCGCATTATCCTTTGTCTTACCTTTAACATCCATCACTGTGTTGAACAAATTGTCAAAATAGTTCTTCTCAATATGCATGACATCAAGGTTGTGACGGAGAAGATTATCCTTCCAATACGGCAACTCCCAAAATATACTCTGTTTCGTCCAATTATGAGTAACACCGTATCCGGGGAATCTATAAGGTGGAACTTCAGTAACTTTACTGAAGTTCTGGACCCTCTCCCAAATTTCCTCACCTGAAAGTATCAGAGGTGGGAAATCACATTCGAATTTATTCCTTTTGAATGCATTTTTCATCCTTCTAAACTCATGATCAGGAGGCAAGAATTGACGATGACAATCAAACCATGATTGCTTTCGGTCATATTTCAAAGTGAACGCTTTACTATTTTCCATGCAGTAAGGACAAGCTAGCTTACCAGCAGTCATCCACCCAGACAACATTCCATACGCAGGAAAATCATTAATTGTCCACATTAAATTAGCACGCAAAATGAAATTCTGCTTGGTTGATATGTCATATGTTTCAACACCATCGTACCACAATTGTTTTAGCTCATCAATCAAAGGTTGCAAATATACATCAATCAAACTTTTCGAATTACGTGGACCGGGGATAATACAATTTAAGAATATGAATGGACTAGTCATGCACAACTCGGGTGGTAGATTATAAGGTGTAAGAAAGACAGGCCAACATGAATATGGTGTGGCAGATACAGAAAAAGGTGTGAAGCCATCTGCACACAGACCTAATCAAACATTCCTTGGTTCACTAGCAAAATCTGGATATGTCCTATCAAAGTGCTTCCGAGCTTCTCCATCTGAAGGATGACACATAACACCAGGTGGTCTTCTATTTTCAAAGTGCCATCTCATATGAGGAGCAGAACTCATCGACGCATATAACCTCTTTAACCTAGGTATACGAGGTAAATAATGCATCGACTTGATAGCGACCATATTCCCACTGGAAAGCCTCTTGAAACGAGGCTTTCCGCAAAATTTACAACTGTCCAAACCTGCATCATCTTTATAATATAACATGCAACCATCTTCACAACAATCAATTCTTAATGACGAAAGTCCTAACTTAGAAACTAATCTCTTTGCCTTGTAGAAATCACCAGGTAATTCGATATCAGGGCCAACTAGTTCACGCATAAGATCAATGAAGGAGTCCATGGCTCCTTGAGAAATATTCCAGTCAGATTTCATACTTAGTAATCTAACTGCAACAGACAACTCAGAGTGCGAACTTCCATTACGTAGTGGACGACTAGCTTCCTCTAAAGCTTCATAAAAACGTTTTGCGTCATCATTAGGAGTTTGTTCAACATTTTCATTGGACTCAAACCCAAAGTGCATCCCAAAAGCATCCGCAACCATATTATGAATTCTAGAATCACGATTTGTATTCTCCACCGACCTACTACTTTCACCCACAACCATGTTATGAAATATCCCATGGCTACCATCGATCTCTCCATGACAAGTCCACACAAAGTAATTCGCTATAAACCCCTTACTATAAAGATGAACCTTAACTTCCTCCGGTTTTTCAAACTTCATACAGTTGCACCTAACACAAGGGCACCTAATTACTCCTTCATTTATGTATGGCGGAAGTGACATTGCGTGTCTAATAAATTCATCAACCCCTTCTACAAAATCCTCCCGCAATCCTCGCCGATTAGGATAATTTCTATTGTACATCCAAGTACGATGTTCCATCTATATAAATAAAGCAAGAACAAATTAATTTAGATATAATGTATTCTTATTTAGGACAATGTATTTACAAGTACTCTTATTTAGGTATTGCTAATGTATGACTTGTATCTTTTTACAATTTAACTCAATATAAATTAATTCAAGAACTAAAAGATCATAATTTCTACCTTAATTTCATAAATCTAATGTAGTTCAAACCAAAAACACTAATACTAAATGTCACGACCCGGATTTCCCACCATCGGGAGTCGTGATGGCGCCTACTATCGGAGCTAGGCAAGCCAAACATTTAAAATATTTTTACTGATTTCATTCAAATAATACAATAAACGAGAACAATAAATAAGCGGAAGATTTTAGATTAATACAACTGAAAACCAAAAATGCAGAAGTTTGAAACATAGTTCTACCAAGAGTCTGGTGTCACTAGCTCACGGACTACTATAGAATGCTAAAAACAAGTCTGAAAGGAAATACATAGTGTTTGTTCGATACAAGGTAAACAAACTAAAACATAGAAGGGACTTCAGCCTGCGAACGCCCGCTAGGCTACCTCGTGAGTCCCTGGACTGAAGATAGCTCCCGGAAATCCTACTGTTGCGGTCCAAAAGCTGCTCCCTGATCTGTGCACAAAAATGCACAGAGTGTAGCATCAGCACAACCGACCCCATGTGCTGGTAAGTGCCTGGCCTAACCCCGGCGAAGTAGTGACGAGGCTAGACAGGACCTACCAAAAACAACATGTACAGATATATATACATATACAAGAGCAACGGAAATAATAACAGAAGATATCAAGTAAAGCTGGGAACGGGACATGCTCGGGGATAACAAATGAAGACGAATTATTAGAAATAACAGCAGAACTACTCCGGGTTTCCATGATATATATAGTGGACGGCGTGCCACACGATCCCGTATTATAATACATAAGTGGTCGGCGCGCCACACGATCCCATTTCATAACATATATAGTGGTCGGCGTGCCACACGATCCCATTCCATAATATATAAGTGGACGGCGTGCCACATGATCCCATATTATAGTATATAAGTGGTCGGCGTGCCACACGATCCCATTCCATAATATATAAGTGGACGGCGTGCCACACGATCCCATATTATAGTATATAAGTGGACGGCGTGCCACACGATCCCATACTATAGTTCAAAATATCTAACTTTGTAAAGAAGGCCCCATTAGGGAAATTCGACAACATAACACTTTAACCCCGCAAGGGTACAGCTAACAGCCCAAATATCCCGGCTAGGGAGAGTACATAATAATAGTCTACACGTCCCGGCAAGGGAATAATCACGACACATCCTCTTTTTTTTTTGACGAAAATTTGTTTTATATTTCATCAAAAAAATCATTACATATCCAGATTAATGCTGACCATTAATCTCTAATAAATATTGACAAGGTAGTTCTATCTATGCATGTACTACTGAAAACTAGTAACTAAGGCATTTTATTTACAAGTTCCAACCCTTTTTTCCACTTAATCTTCTTCCTTCCTTGGATGTGTATATGCATTGCCACTTCTCTACAAACTTCATCAATGTTGTATCTTCCTTTATTGAACCGCATTGAATTTCTCTCACGCCAGATACAGTACATGACCATTGCAAAAGATGCTACAGTCATTTCTGCCTTATATTCTTTCTTCTTGGCTATGTTGTTCATCCAGTTCAGTTCTTGGCTCCAGTCACCTATCTGCCTTGTATGTCCCAGCCACTTCAGTATCCTGTCCCACAGCTCTCTGGTATTTTGACAGCCAAAGTATAAATGTTCAAAATTTTCCTCAGCCTTTCCACAAAAAATACACTCTGTTTGCACTTGTATGCCAAATTTAATGAGTCTATCCACAGTTGCTATCCTTTGATTAATGGCTAGCCACATGTGGAACTTGAATCTGGGATGTATCTGGGAGTGCATGTGAATACTCTTCCATTCAACCTTACTGAATTGTGGTTGCATCTGGATATATGCCTTGTGAATATGGAATTTACCTTGCTTCATAAAGTTCTCCAGAATGACTGTAATCCTCTGTTGATCTGTCCTCATTTCCATAACTTCATCTCTTGCATCCATGATCTTTCTGACCACCCATGCTGCTGCTTTGGGTGTAGGAGTCTCTTCAATCTGTTTTCTCTTTATGTAGTTGGTGTGTGCCCACTTAATCCATAAAGAATCCTTCTTCATAGCAAGCACCCATAGGTGTTTTAAGACTGCTGCCTTGTTCCATATCCTCATGTTCATCACATTCAATCCACCTGCTGACTTAGGTTGACATATTTTATCCCATGCAATTAGTGCTTTCCTGGAGAATTCATTTGAACCAGTCCACAAAAAGGTCCTGCATAGAGTCTCTATCATCTTCATAATCTTCTTTGGGATTAAGAATATTTGGGCCCAGTAAGTTTGAACTCCAAATAGGACTGATTTGATAAGTTGAACTCTTCCTGAGTAGGAAAGCATCCTTGCTGACCAGCATCTGATTCTCTCTGTTATCTTCTCAACTAATGGCAGGCATTGGTGTATGTTGAGCTTTCTTGCAGACAGTGGTACTCCCAGGTATTTGAATGGTATACTGCCCTCTGCATATCCAGTAAGCTGTATCAGTTCTTCTTTTGTATGTTGTGAGACTCCTGCAATATAAATTGAACTCTTTTCAGCACTAGCTTGCAATCCTGATGCTTTTGAGAACTTGTTGAAAATGTTCTGCAATACAGTAATTGATTTTTTGTCACCCTTGCAAAACATTAAGAGATCATCAGCAAAGCAAATGTGTGTCACTCCCAGCTTCTTGCATTTTGGGTGGTATCTGAATTCCTTCTGCTTAGCTAGTGTGCTCATCTCCCTCTGCAAATACTCCATAGCAATCACAAACAGATAAGGAGACATTGGATCTCCTTGTCTGAGGCCTCTCTTAGCAGGGAATGGCTTAGTAAGTCCTCCATTGAGTGTTAAGGAATAAGATACTGTTGTCACACACTCCATGATCCACCCTATAAACTTCTGTGGAAACCCCAATCTGTGAACAT